ATTCGAAACCTTGAAGGGCGAATATCTTTCCGTGATTCCCGAGTTAATAGTTTACCTGCCAAAATTCTCACGAGGCCGTAGGTCATACTCAAGAGCGGGAGAACGCAAAATTTGAATAGGCAAGGTTGGGCGTGGGCTATGGGTCATTACCCTAAAATTTCAGTTCTGCAGACTTTGTGGTTCCCGAGATAATAATTTACCCGTTAAAAATTTTCACGGGCCCGTACTTGTTACCAGCGGGCAGTGGAAAGCTGAATTTAAACTTTCTGGGTAGTAATGGGCGGGGAACATGCTCACAAAATTTCAGCCTTCTATCTCCCGTGGTTCCCGAGATACTGATTTTACCCGAAAAACTTTTACGGTGCCGTACGTGCTACTCGCGGGTACGGGAAGGCTGAATTTAAATTTGCCACGTCATCCGTTGGCGGGGAACACTATACTAAAGTTTCAGCTGCCTAGCATTTGAGGTTGCCGATTTGAAAGTGCGGGACAAAATGTGGGACACACACACAAACACGCACACAGACAACCCCGTGACAATATGCCGCTGTTACACAGCATGAAACGCATAAAAAGCGATTATGGAGCGGCACTTCAGATACCTTCAGTGATACGGCCTGTATGTTGGCCTTCATCATGATGAATTTCTTGACGTAACGACGAGTGCGGACCAGATCCTTCGCCATCACCTTCACCGAGTCCTGCAAGCGCAGCAGTCAGCAGCTGGGCAACAGAGACGAGCAAAAAAGGAATGCTGCGAAAAAGCAACTAGCCATCTGATTCATTTTGGCCATCTTCTTGATGTCCGCGATGATCTTCTTCTCCTGCATCTCCAGACGCGACCGCTCCCTGTCCAGCTCGCGCATCGCTTTGTTCAGGGCCCGCTGATTTTGCCGCAGCATCTCAGCCGGCGTCCTCTTTCTGCCAAACAGAAAATCCATCCCCTCTGCAAGCAAGCAACACCACTGCACTGCACTGCGCAAACAGCGCCAGCAACACGCCGCACACCGCCGGCTCTGCCGCAGTAGTAACGAGAGTGTTACTTGAGGTCAGTGTTACACACAGCCTGGCATCAGTCTGCACCTACCGAGGCCAGCACGTACCCCCAACCAGACCACAACCCAGCGCACATAACGAGCCTAGAATTACTAAAACTCGACTCGGCTCGGCTCGGCTCGGCCCCGGTTGATGTACAAATCGCGAGAACTGCTGCTTGTCTGTGGGAAACCAGGCTGCTTGGTGGCAGTCTGCTGCGGTCAAAGTGCACCGTTTCCGAGAGAGGCTGCGCCCAGGAAGTATAGCCATTATCAGTTGGCGAGGCCGTGGACCACTGGCTTTTGATGATTGCTTAGGGGTGGTGGGGTGCCTCCGTGGCAGGACCAGCCGGGCCGGCTGGCTGCTACTGGATGCAGAGGCCGTTGCGCGGGCGCAGTCGATCGGGTGCCTTCTGTGTGTTAGTAGTTCTGCTTCTGGTTGTGCCGCTCCCGTTAGCTGCATACTTGCATCATAAATACTGGTTCATGCAGATGATATTGGCTTTTTGCGAACAATCTATTAAGTAGTTGCATAAAAGATGTCCTGCGGCAGATTTATGTAGATTTGCATAACATGCAAATTTTCTGTGGAAATTAATACATATATATTTGCATGTTATGCAAATCTACATAAATTTGCCGCATA